ATCTCGGCTCACTGCAATCTCTGCCTCCTGGGTTCAAGCGATTCTTCTGCCCACCTCCCGAGTAGCTGGGGCCCAGGCACATGCCACACACTATGCCGGGCTAGTTTTTGTATTTTTAGTAGAGATGGGGTTTCACCATGTTGGCCTCTCTCTCGAACTCCTGGCGTCGTCGTGATTCACCCGCCTCTCGGCCTCTCCCAACGTGCTGGGATTATAAGTGTGACCACACTCAACCCAAGAAAATTTCCATTCTAAAGTCCTTTGTCTGTCTGTTTCTTTTCTTGTGGAGACAGGAGTCTTGCTATATTGTGGTTGGTCTTGTCCTGGACTCAATTGATCACCCAAAGCCCCCAAAGTGCTCTGGGAGATTACAGGGTGAGCCACCACACCTGTTTGCTGCCCTTTTTTTTTTTTTTTTTTTTGGGACGGAGTCTCACGGCTCTGCTGCCCAGGCTGGAGTGCAGTGGCATGATCTTGACTTACCTCCGTCTCCCAGGTTCAAGTGATTCTCCCACCTCAGCCTCCCAAGTAGCTGGGATTACAGGCGGCACCCACCACCACGCTGGCTACTTTTTGTATTTTTAGTAGAGATGGGGTTTCGCCATGTTGGCCGAGAGGCGGTCTCTGACTCCTGACCTCAGGTGACCTGCCCGCGCCAGCGCTCCAGGTGTAGGATGACAGGCATGAGCATTTCCCCGTGCCTAGCCACCCATTTATTTTCAAATTAGAGTTTTTTGTTGTTGTTGGAGTTGTAAGACATATATATATATGGGTTATATATGTATGTATATATATACACACATACACAAACATACATATACATATATATATATCCTGGATTCTAGAACCTCTTCAGATATATATTGTATGCAAATATTTTCTTTCATTTTGTAGCTTGTCATATCCCTTTAAAAATTGTATTTAATAATGTGTATTGTCACTTCACTTCAAAAAACTTCACCTCTCTGCATGCCTAATCCCAGCACAGAGACCGAGACGGTGGATCCCCTAGTCAGGAGTTCAGAGACCAGCCTGACCAGCATGACAGCACACCTCTGGCCGGGCGTGGTGGCGCACACCTGTAGTCCCAGCGCCCCACAGCTACTCGGGAGGCTGAGGCAGATGCTTGACGGAGCGGAGGTTGCAGCGAGGCAGTTGGCACCAATGCATTCCAGCCTGGGTGACAGGCAGAGACTCCGTCTCAAAAAGTAAAAACTTTACTTCCTTCAAAACTAGAACAGTGATAGTAATTGATATATCTATCTGAATCCACCCCCTTACCTTCCCAGATCAAAGATAATTTACTAATTTGAACTTTGTGTTTATATTTTATTATAGTTCTACTAGCTAGGTATTCATGCCTATACATTATTTCATTTGGGCTGCCCAGGCTTTATAAAGATCTGTTGTACACAGGGCTGAATGGTTTCTAGTGTTGGTAACGATTTATACTCCCCGATAATGTATGTGAGACTATGACCCCATTCTCCCCAACACTTTGTTGTCCACTTTCTTTTGTTGTTTTTGTTTGCTTGTTTGAGACCGGGAGTTCTCTCTGTCACGCCCAGGCTGGAGTGCAGTTGGGCAGAGATCTCAGCTCACTGCAGCTCCGCTATCTCCCGGGTTCCCATGGCATTCTCCTGCCTGGAGCTCCTGAGTAACTGGGACTACAGGCGCCTGCCACCACGCCCAGCTAATTTTTTATATTTTAGTAGAAGTAGGGTTTTACTGTGTGGATGGTCTAGGTCTGGTGACCTCGTGATCCGCCTCGGCCTCCCAAGTGCTGGGATTACAGGGGCGTGTGAGTCACACCAGCTTTTGTTTTGTTTTGAGATGGAGTATCACCTGTTGACCAGGCTGGAGTGCAGTATGGCGAGATCTTGGCTCACTGCAGCCTCTACCTCTCCGGGTTCAAGTGATTCTGCAGCCTCCCAAGGTAGTGCGATTGTTACAGGTGTGCATCACCCTGCCTGCTAGTTTTTTTGTATTTTTAGTAGAGATGGGGTTTTACCATGTTGCCCAGGCTGGTCTTGAACTCCTGACCTCAAGTGATCTGCCTGCCTCAGCCTCCCAAAGTGATGGGCTTCCAGGTGTGAGCCACCAGGCCTGGCCTCCGTTTCTTTATTTTTGGAGCTCTTGAAGAGACAGTGACCTCCCCAGGCCCCGCCAGGAAGCCTGTGGGATTTACCCCACTCTCCACTATCCCGGGAGGTTCCAGGGACCACAGATGGGAAATCTACTGGACTTAAGGACTTCGGAGACAGGCCTGGTCCACGAACTCCGTGTGAGCTTGGGCAAGGACGTGACCTTCCAGAGCTAGTCTGTATAAGTCTTTGTGGGACTGACCAAGGGAGTACGTGCCGTGTGGGGAGACGGCTCGTTGGGTACCCGCTGGCTGCAGGGGGCTCATCTGCAGGAACAGCATGAAGAGGGGGTGGTGTCTGGGCTCTGTTCCTTTGGGACCCCTGGGGCCCTGCATCCTTGGGTGGCAGTGAGTATCCCGTCAGTGGGGTATGTATGTAAGTGGGGCCTGGCTCCTCGCGGGAGTCTCAGAGGGGATGAAGAGAGGAGCTTTGTTGGACCCAAGTTCAGGCAGAAAATTTGGCTCTGTTTATGTTTTTAATCGGACCCTTTTCAGGCTGGGGCTCCCCCAGTCCCCAGGCTACAGCCTGGAGGAGGCTCTCTGGCCAGCCACAACATCCAGCTGCTAGCTCCCTCGCTCCTATCCATTGCCCAGAGGGAAGAAAGGCGGGTGCAGGCCGGAAGGAAGGGGCTGAGCAAGATCTCAGCCTCCGCCCACCTGGGCTGTCTCCGGAAGAATTGGCCAGGAGGGCCGCCGGTCAGTCACCCCAGAAATATCAAGGCGTTGGGGCAGCCTTTTTCACGGCCAGCCCTGCCTGGCCTGTGTGGCCATGCGTGTGCCTGGGTTAGAGCGCCCAGCCACCACCCGGCTCAGAAGGCGAGCCATCAGTGGGGGGCTGGCCTCGGCCTCCAGCTGCCCCGTTCTTTAGCTGCAGAGGTTCCTGGGCTCCCGCCTCCTCCTCACTGAGTCTGATTCTTCCACATCACTACGAATGTCCTTCTCCATCTGGGGAACAGAGAGAGGGATGGGCGGGAGGCAGGAGGAAGGATGAGCTTGGGGCTGGGAGGCCCCTGGGAGGTCCAGTCATGCCTGACCCTTCTTTATGAAGCTACAGAGCATGCGCAGAATGAGGCAAGACCAGAACACGTGCAGCAGCTGCAGCAACATCAGAAGCCCGTTGCAGAAGTAGTAACCGAGAAGAAGGGCCCTGTTGCCGAGGGACGCCGTGGTGGCGGTCATATCTGCAGCGGGAGGGGGAGAGGAGGGCCGGGACTTGACCAGCTGCTGTAGCCCCTAGTCCTAGAGATTTCTAACTTTGGCATGGCCTTCCCCCATAACCTTCTATGGCTCCTAATTGCCCCCCCCACCCCATCATACCTACACATTTTTTTTTTGTTTTTTTTTTTTGTTTTTTTTTTTTTTTGAGACGGAGTCTTTATCTGTGCTTAGGCTGGAGGGCAGTGAATCTGGACTCTCACTGCAAGCTCCTTCGGGGTTCACGCATTCTCCTGCCCCAACCTCCCGAGTAGCTGGGACTACAGGAACCCGCCACCACGCCCGTCTAATTTTTTTGTATTTTTAGTAGAGACGGGGTTTCACTGTGTTAGCCAGAGTTGAAGTGCTCCATCTCTCCTGACCTGGTGATCGCCCGCCTCGCTCCCAAAGTGCTGGGATTCCAGGCGTGAGCCACCGCGCCCGGCCCATGCCTACACTCCAGGCTGGAGTGCAGCGAGGCCCCTCTGCAACCTTGTACTAAATGGGCAGAAGAACACACCGCGGCTGACGTGAGCCCCCAAGCGGGTACTTATGATCCCAGCTGCTTTCCTGGGTGGCCTCACAGCACCTTCTCTCCACTCCTCAGACCCCCATCACCTCCCCCTCATCAGCAGGTGACCGCCTACTCTCACCTCTCAGAGGGAGGGAGCCTCATGTCTCTCAGGAAGGCAAGCGGTAGGGACTCATCTCCCAAGGGTATAAAAGGGGCCTCACCTCCAGGAAAGGCGGGGGGTGATGGGGCCTCCCAGGTAGCCAGACAGGGGCCGGGGCACTGTCTCCCAGGGAGGCTGAGAGGAGCCCCTTCATTTCTGTGTAAGCCAGTAGGAAGAATATTCTTCCGCTCCTCCTCCCAAACTCCTCTTGTGACACACCAGGACAGCCTGTGCCCAGGCCCAGCTCACTGCACCCTCTCTTAAACTCAGCTCTGGTTCTTTTACTACATTGTTTGGGGCGGAGTCTCACTCATCCCCAAAGGCTACGGGTGTGCAGTGGTGCAATCTCAGCTCACTGCAACCTCCGCTTCCCAGGTTCAAGCGTTATACATAAGCTCATTAGCTGGGATTACTTGGGTGCACACCACCACGCCCAGGTGTTTGCTGTATTTTTAATAGGTTGTTTTGCCATTTTGGCCAGGCTGGTCTCGGGCTCCTGACCTCAAGTGATCTGTCCGCCTCAGCCTCCCAAAGTACAGGTTACAGGTGTGACTACCACGCCTGGCCCTCCCAACATTGTTTTGTTGGTAAATCTCTCCTTTTGTGCTGTGTAGTTCACCTGGCTGCCCCATTTACCCTCCACTCCACCCATGAAGTGTCTGCTCACGAGGCAGAAATCTTTGAACTGTGGCCTCTGCTGTGTTCCCAGCACATAAGAGACCCCATAAATATTGACTGGGCGGACTTTGGTGCGCTGGCAACCCTGGCTACTCCCCCACTCCTGGTCAGGCACGCTGAGTAATTCTAATTCTCTGTCTCTCACCTCTGCACCTTTATACTTGTGCCCTCTGCCTGTCATGCCCTTCCCTGCCTTCTCCTGGAACTCTCCCAGCCGAGATCCCGGCTCCTTGGGGCAGGTTACCAATGTGAAGCAGTCTGGTGTCTCAGACATGCCCTCCCACCTCCCTGACCCCCATGCGGAGGCTGACTCACTGGGTGGGAAGAGGACCAGTCAGGTGTAGAAGACCAAGGAGAAGATGAGAAAGAGAGCGTCACACACACGTGCTGATGCTGCGTGTAGTTGACCATCTTACAGGCCTGAAAGAGAAGGGCAGGCGCGGAGAAATGGGCTCCAGGACCGGGGCCTGGCCTCAAGGAGAAGGTGCTATGGGAGATGGCGGGAACAGGTGGAGTTGGGGTGGGGCCTTGATTCAGGAACTACCTACATTTCCAGGAAAGGTAAGGATTGTGAATATAAGGCTGGCACGGTGGCTCACGCTTGTAATCCCAGCACTTTGGGGAGGCCGGGCGAGGCGGATCTGCCTGAGGTCAAGAGTTCGAGCCCAGCCTACTGGCCAACATGGTGAAATCCATCTCGACTAAAAATACAAATTAGCTGGGCGTGGTGGCGGCGGACACCTGTATTACCGCCAGCTACTTGGGAAACTGACATGGGAAGATCACTAGAGCCTGGGAGGCAGGGTTGCAGGCACAGGTGCGCCATTGCACTCCAGTCTGGGAGGCGGGAACTCCATCTCAAAAGAATACATATGCATGCATGCACATGTCTATAGCAGCTGTATCCTCCCAGAAGGGAGGCTGAGGGCAGAGGCTATCTCCCAGAAGAACCAGAGGCAGGACCTCATCTCCAAGAGAGCGCTGAGAAGGGTGGGGAGGGTCTCGTCTCTGCCCACATGGAGAGAATGGGAGGGGGTGGGGGCTTCGACACCCAGGAAGATGAGGGTGGGGTCTTACCAGCCTGAAAAAGACAAAGGACAGGGGCCTTATTACCTGAGAGGCCAGGGAGGGTGAGCTCATTTCCCAGGAAGGTTGGGAGGAATGGGACCTCATCTCTAGAAGGCACCTGGGAGGGCTGGGCCGCCTCTCCAGCAGGTAGTCGAGGCGGAGTCGACAAGAGCCGCACCAGAGCCGATGCAGCAGGTTGGCGCTGTAGGAGGAGGAGGAGAAGGTCGTGGGGATGATGACCACCACGAGTCGATGTATCACCTGCTCCTTGGGGAAATCCTGCAGGAGACAGTGGGTCCCAGTGGGGATGAGGCTTGATGCTGGCAGGTGCCTGCACCTATGGGCCAAGAAACCACGTCCTTTTGTGTGGCCTCTGGGCCGCTAAGCGCATATGCACTCCTGCAAGAGGCACAGGGAGGCTCTCAAGATGCGGCTGTGAGGCATCCCCACCACCCCGCACCCCAGCCGCTCCTATCTGGCGGCCAGGGGTGTTCCAGACTCTTGTGTGGCCTCACATGGCCGGCATCAAGGGCAGCCCTATTAGCAGTGAGAGGTGAAAGCCAGCTCAGAGGTACCACCCAGTACAGGGATGGCTTCAGGGTCTGCAGCAGGGCAGGACAAGGTTAGCTGTGTGGGGGCCGAAGGCTCCAGTCGGGCAATGTTGGCTCAGGAGCCCACTCCCTTTGCTCAAAACCAGGATGTGGATCAACCAGGTGAGCTCCCCATCCTAGGTGGTGTTGGTGGAGGTAATCAAGGGCAGTGGTTTGGTGGAAGCACCTGCTTGGAGTTCTAGCCTCTCTATTCCCCAGAGGAATCAAAGACACAGAGTAGGACTCAGTGGGGAATGATGGTGGTGTCAGGCTCCAGGTCCCATGTCCGGCTGCACAGCAACCTGTCACATCACCATCAGCGTGCCGTACCACCCCCACAACCCCCACTCACACCTGGTTTGGGTAATTTTCCCAGCACATTACTGGGGCCCACAGCCACGATTCCTGCAGGGAAACGGGTGTTAGGCTGTGCGGAGGTGAGAATCCAGCTTCCCACCCTGGGTCTGTGGGCTCTTTGGGTGGTCTCATAGATGCTGCTTCACCCAGCCTGCTTTTTCCTGCCTCTCCAATCTCCACTGGGGAAGCTCATTCACTGCAGAACCATGTGAAAAAGCTTCTACTGGTGCATGGCAGTCCTAAGTACCTGTTGCGCGCGAATTCACCCAGCACCTGGCCAAGCTCTCGCTCTCCTCAGCTGCACGTTTTCCTCTCTGGCTGCGCCCCTCACACACACTCCCCTCCCACCAGATCCGGGGCTGGAGCATAGGAGGCATTTCTGGGGCAGGCAGGCCGTCAGCCACACTCAGGTGCACTCACGTGGTACAGGACCGAGAGACTACCCCACGAAGGAGGACAGGTAGAAAAGAAATCTCCAGCTGTGGATGGGGAGAGGAGCTGTGAGAGACACCTCCCCTGCTGCCTTCACACCCCAAGTCGCCTTCAGCCCCATCCTGGGTTTACCTGGCCTCACAGAACTTCTTGGTCAGCTGCGAGTCGATCTGCTTCCGGCGTCTCGGAACCATTGCTGGGTCTGCCGCAGTGTGAAACACAGCCGGAGCAGCAGGAGGGACAGTTCGTGGGGCTGCGGAGGAGTGGGTGATGGGGACAAGGGTCACAGAGGCCTGGCAATTTGGCCCTCATGTCCCCAGACAGGACTTACATCTGCCGTCTCTCTCCTACGCGTCTTGCCTTAAGGTGACCATGTCACATATGGAGAGACAGTGTGGGGGTCCCAGCGTAGAGGCCTGCAGAATACTTGGGCCTTTCTGCAAGCAAATCCTGTTCACTGGGCAGGCAGAGCGCTGATGGGATGGGATTAGAGAGATGCTGGTGTGCATCTCCTCTACCCCAGCTAGGCTTCCCTCGTCCCTCCAAACGGTCAGTTCCCACCTGCAACCTAGGCAGGCAATTGAGACCTTGTCCCAGCCTAAGCCCTACTGAAGGAAACTGACAAGTGAAGAGAAGTCACGTGGCTTCTAGCTCTGTGAAGGCCTTGCCCCCAGGGCATGTGGTTTCATCCCCACACCCCACTCAGGATCACATCCACGTCTCCCACAGTGCAGAGCCTGTCAGCGGGCAACCACAGAGATGGGAATGGAGGAAGGAGGTCACAGGGCTGCTTCTACCTGTTCCTCCATCTCCTACAAGCTCAGATCTTCCATTCCTCCCCAGAATAGGAGAGCAAGCAACTTCTTTCACTGTCCTACGATCTGTCCATTGTGCAACTGTGCCCACTGAGGCCCAGGGCGGCTGGGAGAGGTGGGGCTCCATCTTCAGGAGGCTGGGGAGGAGGCAGGATTCATCTCGGGAGGCTGTAGGGGGCAGGACCCCATCTCCCGGGAGCGCTGGGTGGGCGGGCACCAGCATCACAGAGGCATCCCTTTGGGAACTCCATCCCAGGAGGACACTGGTAGGGATGGGGCTCCATCTTCCAGGAGGCTGGGGGGCAGGTCCTCATTTCCCAGGGAGGCTAAGCGGGGCAGGGCTCATTTCCCAGGAATCGGGATGAAGAGTGGAAAGTGGGGCATTGCAGGGGTGCCTGAAGCCACCTTGGCGTCTCCTGCCTCAACAAATGGGCCACACACCACCCGCCAGCTCCACCCCGGCATGGCCAGTGCCGAGTCCCTGGGGCACTGGGGGGCTCTCACCTCCTTGGGCCTGTGCCCTTCCGTGAAGTGTTTCTCAGCATGGCATTGGGCTTCACCTGCCTCCTGGTCTGATTCCACCTCACCCAGCCACCAGCTCAGGGGCAGGCCAATGAATTTTGGGTGCAAAGGGAGACAAAAGACCATCAGCCCAGGTGAAGGAAGCGGGGCTGCCTGTGGCTGTGCGGGGGCAGATATGCTATCGGTGGGTAAACCAAGTCTCAGAGGGGCACAGTTACAGGCACAGAGGGCACAGCTGGCACGTGGCAGGGTGTGTAAGACTTGGGGTCTGTCTGCTCCATCTCCAGAGGGTTTGGAGGCCCAGAGTCAGAAAGGCTCGTAAGGCAGGACTCGATTTTCCACTTATTCCTGGCCTCATCCCCTGGGGCCCTGGAGGGGTAGCCTGGCTGCTGCGTTAGACCAAACATAAGAAAGGCAGCTGGCTCACATGAGGTCAGAAGTTCGAGACCAGTCTAATCAATATGGTGAAACCTTGTCTCTACTGAAAATACGAAATCATCTGGAGGTGTGGTGGCGTGTCTGCGTGCTTAGTCCAACTCATTGGGAGGCGTGAGGCAGGAGAATTGCTTGAACCTGGAGGGAGAGAGGGGTTGCAGTAGTGAGATGGCATCCACTCTCCAGCCTGGGCGACAGAGAAGTCACCCATCTCTTTGGACCTGTATGATGTGTCTGCTGGGTGAGGGTGTGCAGACCAGCTCTTAGGTGAGTACCTTTGCCCCATCCCAAACCAGGGATGAAGTCTTCTCCTTTCTCACTGTGGCCTGGGTGCTTCAGCCCCACTGAGCTGAAGCTCTTGGGGTAGACAGGTACCTTTGCCCCATCCCAAACCAGGGATGAGAGTCTCTTCACTGCCTTTCTCACTGTGGCCTGGGTCCTGGCCTGACCCCCCGCCAGGCTAAGGGCCCCCCACGGGCAGGGGTTGTTCCCACTCCAAGCCCCTCCTCCCAGCATCCCCCTTCCAGGGTAAAGACTTGGAGATCAGGGACCCTGGTCAACCAACATATTGCCCACAAGAGGGCGCGCGAACACCACAGGTGGGGACCAAATTTTATATCCACCATCCATCCCAACATCATCCCTCATTTGGGGAAAGGCTCAGAGCAGCCTAGCAAGGAACTCATTGCAGACTAAATCATGATGCGGAGAGAAAGGGCAGATACTTAAGCACTTATCTGCTAAGCGTGGGGCCAAGTCCATATTATACAGTGGCTCACCTAACCCTAACTTAGTCCCCATTGTCGTAATGGGCAAACTGAGGCTCAGAGACAGTCTGAGGTGACACTGTGGGCAGGCGGAAGACCTGAAATTTGAACTCAGGATTCTGGTTTTTGTTTTAAGAGGCAGGGTCTCCTTTTGGAGGTGGAGGGTGGGTGGATCGCTTGAACTCAGGAGTTCAAGACCAGCCTGGGCGACATGGTGAGATCTCGTCTCTACTAAACATACAAAAGTGAGCTGGGTTGTGATGTCACTCGCCTGTAATCCCAGCACTTTGGGAGGCCAAGGCAGGCGGATCACCTGATGTCAGGAGTTTGAGACCAGCCTGGCCAACATGGCAAAACCCCGTTTCTACTAAAAATACAAAAATTAGGTATGGTGGCACATGCCTGTAATCCCAGTTACTTGTGAGGCTGAGGTCAGAGAATCACTTGAACCTGGGAGGCAGAGGTTGCAGTGAACTGAGATCGTGCCACTGCCCTCCAGCCAAGGTGAAAGAGCTCTGTCTCAAAAAAAAAGTTAGCCAGGCGTGGTAGCACATGCCTGTAGTCCCAGTACTGAGGCTTTTTTTTTTTTTTTGAGATGGAGTTTTGCTCTTGTCGCCCAGGCTGGAGTGCAGTGGCATGAATGATCTCAGCTCAATGCAACCTCTGTCTCCTGGGTTCAAGCAATCCTCCTGCCTCAGCCTCCTGGGTAGTTGGGACTAGAGGCGTGCACCACCACACCCAGCTCATTTTTTGTACTTTTGGTAGAGAGAGGGTTTCACCATTCTGGTTGGGCTGGTCTCGAACTCCTGACCTTGTGATCTGCCTGCTTCGGCCTCCCAAAGTGTTGGGATTATAGATGTCAGCCACTGTACCCAGCCTAATTTTTGTATTTTTTTAATTTTTGAGATGGAGTCTGGCTCTGTCACTCAGGCTGGAGTGCAGTGGCTGGATCTCGACTCCCTGCAAGCTCTGCTTCCTGGGTTTACGGCATTCTCCTGGCTCAGCCTCCCGAGTAGTTGGGACTACAGGCGCCCGCCATCTCGCCCAGCTAGATTTTTGTACTTTTTTTTTCAGTAGCGATGGGGTTTCACCGTGTTAGCCAGGATGGTCTCGATCTTCTGACCTCGTGATCCGCCCATCTCGGCCTCCCAAAGTGATGGGATTACAGGCTTGAGCCACCGCGCCCGGCCTGTTTTTTTTTTAAATAGAGACAAGGTTTCACCATGTTGCCCAGTCTGGTCTTGAACTCCTGGACTCAAGTGATCCACCCGCCTCAGCCTCCCAAATTGCTGACATTACGGGCCTCAGCTACCACGCCTGGCCTAGATTCAATTTTTTTTTTTTTAAAAAGGGCTAAAATCCCTGCATTTGAAACTGGAAAACCCTCCGCCCACCCCACTGTCCTTCACAGAGGCCCTGGGATGCCTTTGGGATGAGATAACACCCCCAGCTCATATTTGCCGTTTTTTGTTGCTTTTAAGGTGGAGTCTCACTGTATTGCCCAGGCTGGAGTGTAGTAGCACAATCTTGGCTCACTGCAACCTCCGCCTCCCAGGTTCAGGCGATTCTCCTGCCTCAGCCTCCTGAGGAGTTGGGATGACAGGTGTGCAGTCAGCTAATTTTTGTATTTTTAGCACAGACGGGGTTTCACCATGTTGGCCAGGCTGGTCTTGAACTCCTGACTTGAAGTGATCCGCCCCACCTCCCAGCCTCTCAAAGTGTTAGGATTATGGGTGTGAACCATAGTGCCGGCCTCCCATCCCTGTTTTATGAAGATGCTGGCACACCCAGCCCCGAACTGCGGGCAGTGTTCCTATAAACCAGCAATCAGAGGCCAGAATTGTGGAGTGGTGGGGGGCAGGCTGGAGCTGGGAAAAGCACTTTAGCGCAAGAAGCCAGCTTCACTAGGACATGCTGCAATGACACAGAGTGCACACAGAGACACTATGACACATGCTGGGCGTGACTGCGGGGCGATGGGTTGCGGCAGGGCAGACACTCACCTCTCAAGGCGGGCGCATGGCCAGGAGGACCAGTGCCAGGGCAGGGCTGCCAGCATGTCCTGGGGGTGAGGTAGACCACGGCCATCCCAGGTCTTCCAGCTCTGCCCATGTGACATTGGAGTGGTAACCCAGGAACCTGTGCTGCCAAAACCGCTCGTTGAAACCGGACAGCATTCTGTGGACACAGGTTCCAGTTAGCTGGGAGGGCTGCAAGAAGAATGGGTGGGGCAAGTGGGGCCTGAGAGGCTGGAGCCTCGCAACTCCTAACTGGGCTGTTATTATCAGCTCGGCCTGACCACCAGGAGGCGGGACCGGAGAAGATGGAACTCCCCTTGCCTGGGGCTTTGGAACTATCCTGTGGCCCCAGAAGAGTGGGAACTTCCCAACCACTACTCCATTCTCATCACCCGGCCCTCACTTGCCTGGTCAGTGTTAAAGGCAGAGTTGGGCTGTGTGTCCTCAGGCAAATAACTTGACCCTGGAACCTCAAGTTCATCTGTAAAACACAGGAGTAGGCCAGGCGCAGTTGCTCACACCTGTAATCCCAGCACTTTGGGAGGCCAAGGCAGGTGACTCACGAGGCCAGGAGTTGAAGACCAGCCTGACCAACGTGGTGAAACCCTATCTCTACTAAAAACACAAAAATGAGCTGGGCGTGGTGTACGCCTGTAATCCTAGCTACTCGGGAGGCTGAGGCAGGAGAATGGCTTGAACCCGGGAGGTGGAGGTTGCAGTGAGCCAAGATCGTGCCATTGCACTCCAGCCTGCGTGACAGAGTGAGACTCCATCTCAAAAAATAAAACAGAGACAAGTAATGCAGGCTTCTCAACCTAAAGGCTTGGCCTGGATTTTAACAAGAGTAATAACAACACAGCCCAAAAATAATAGTTATTATTCTGCACTTAACGGATGCCAAGATGGTAGCCAGAAGTCAAGAGTGGCTGTAGGGTCAGAAACTTGAGTGGTGGTTGGGCACCATGGCTCATGCCTGTAATCCCAGCCCTGTGGAGGAGGCTGAGGGCAGATCGCGAGGTCAGGAGTTTGAGACCAGCCTGGCCAACATGTGCAACTCCATCTTTACTAAAAATGCAAATTAGCCAGACATGGTGACAGGTGCCTATAATCCCAGTTACTCAGGAGGCAGAGGCAGGAGAATCACTTGAAACCGGGAGGAGGAGGTTGCAGTGAGCCAAGATCATGCCACTGCACTCCAGCCTGAGCGTGAAGCGCAAAACTCTGTCTCAAAGAAAAACAAAACAAAAGTTGAGTCCTCAAATGTCCAGGAAGGTTTCTTTCCACTGCAGGAAGCTGCCTCTGAAGCAATACAAAGATGAAGGATTTAAAGAAATCCAGAGGCCGGGTGTGGTGGCTCACTCCCAGCACTTTGGGAGGCCGAGGCAGGTGGAGCACGAAGTCAGGAGTTCAAGACCAGCCTGGCCAACACGGTGAAACCCTGTCTCTACTAAAAATACAAAAGTTAGCCGGGCATGGTGGTGTGCGGCATAGTCCCAGCTACTTGGGAGGCTGAGGCAGAGAACTGCTTGAACCCGGGAGGCGGGAGGTTGCAGTGGCGGAGGTCGCGCCATGCACTCCAGTCTAGGTTGCAGAGCAAGACTCTCTCAAAAAAAAAAAATCCAGAGTTCCTTTCTGGCCATCTTTGGAAGGTAGACTCCTCTAGCTGGGAATTTCAGAGGTCTCGCTTGCTATCCCAGAGCCCACAAAGCAAGTGGGTAAGAGAGCCTGTTGCATGACTGAGCTTGCCGGATAACGGAGTTGCGGTCAAGGTGGGGCAGCTCTGGCCAGCATGTCCCAACCTGCCTGAGGAGCCCAAAGAGCTCCTCCCTTTCCTGAGATCTTGAGCCAAGGAGTCCGGCCTACAATGGTTCCCCTCGAAAGTTTATTCATTTATTTATCTATCCCTCATCCCCGTCCATCTATCTACCTGTCCATCCCTCTGTCCGCCCATCCAAACACCTGTCTACATCCCTCTGTCCGCCCATCCAAACACCTGTCTACCCACCCATCATCCATCCATTCATCCATCAAAACATCTGTCCATCCACCCATTATCCATTCATCTGTCCACTCACGCATTCATCCATTCCTCCACCACCCATCGAACATCTGTCCACCCACCCATTCATCCATCCGTTCACCCCACTTGAAACCACCCATCACCCACCCAAACATCTGTCCATCCACCCATCCAAACATCTGCCTGCCCGCCCATCATCCACCCACCCAATTTTCCATCCACCCGATCAAAAATCTGTCCATCTACGCATCATCCACCCACCGATCCAAAAATCTGTCCATCTACCCATCATCCATCTGTCCACCCATCTAAACATCTGTCCACTCATCACTCACCTGTGTATCCTTCCACCCACCCATCCTTCTGTCCCTCTATTCTTCCATCTACTCTTCTATCCATTTTCCCTTCCATCCCTCCATTTATCCATCTGTCCTTGCATCTATGCATCTGTCTGTCCATCCAGGCAAGAGACGTTCTCCAACTGACTTGTACGTGCCAGGTCAGGGCTGGGCCTTGGTGACACAGCAGGGGAACGAAGCCAACACATTCCTGCCCAGTTCATAGACCAACAGAGAAAGCAGCCAATAAACAAGTAAGCAGATTCACGAATGAGATATGAAAGTGTAACGGGGCCGAGTAGAAAACAGAGTGGCATGATTTTAAATGTGTTCAAGGAGATGCTCTCTAAGGAGGAACCATCTGAGCTGGGATTTAAAGATGAAGTCAGGCCAGGCCCGGTGGCTCATGCCTGTAATCCCACACTTTGGGAGGCTGAAACAGGTGGATCACCTGAGGTCAGGAGTTCAAGACCAGCCTGGCCCATATGGTGAAACCTCATCTCCATTAAAAATACAAAAATAATTGGCCGGGCATGGTGGCATGTGCCTGTAATCCGAGCTACTTGGAAGGCTGAGGCAGGAGAATCAGTTGAACCTGGGAGGCAGAGGTTGCAGCAAGTCGAGATCATGTCACTGTACTCCAGACTGGGCGACAAAGCAAGGCTCCGTCTTGGGGAAAAAAAAAAAAAAACCAAAGATGAGGAGGTTAGGCCAGGCACAGTGGCTCATACTTATAATCTCAACACTTTGTGAGGTCGAGGCAGGTGAATTGCTTGAGCCCAGGAGTTCAAGACCAGCCTGGGCAACATAGCCAGACTCTGTCTCTACAAAAAATTTAAAAAGCAGTCAGGTGTGGTGACATGTTTCTGTAGTTCTAGCTATTCAGGAGGCTGAGGTGGGAGTCCGACTCGAACCCAGGAGTTCGAGGCTGCAGGGAGCTATAATCACACCACTGTACTCAGCCTGGAGGACAAAGCAAGACCCTATGTTTGGGAAAAACAGAGAAGAGAAGGTTGTGGGTTTGCACATAAGAAAGTGGGGCTAGGGGATAGGCTTTCTAGATAAATACACAGCAGGTGGAAGGGCTCTGAGGCAGGACCGTGCCTGGCATGTCGGAGGAACAGCGAGGAGGCCCGTGTGGCTGGTACAGAGTGAGCGAGGGGGGAGAGAGGGAGGAGAGGAGGGCAGGTAGGTGATGAGGGGCAGCACAGAGCCTGCAAGGCATGGGGGCCACAGGGAAGAATCTGGATTATTTCCCCCAACATTTTATTTTGAGATGAAGTCTCACTCTGCCACCCAGTCTGGAGTGTAGTGGCGCGATCTCAGCTCACTGCAACCTCCACCTTGCAGGTTCAAGCAATTCTTGTGCCTCAGCCTCCCAAGTAGCTGAGATTACACCACCACACCTGGCTAATTTTTGTATTTTTAGTAGAGATTGGGGTTTCGTTATGTTGGCTAGCCTGGTCTCAAACTCCTGACCTCAAGTGATCTGCCTGCCTCGGCCTCCCAAAGTGCTGGGATTACAGGCATGAGCCTCCACGCCTGGCCTTCCCCCAACATTTTATAACAAACATTTCAAACCTACGGAAAAGTTGAAAGAATTTTATAGTGAATACCTGTATTCCCACCACTACATTCTGCCCTTTGCATTCCGTTCTATTTATTCCATCACCCATCTGCCTTTTCTGGCTTTAGAGGCTGCCTGCATCCTCTGGCTCCTGGTCCCTTTCTCCATCTTCAGGGCCAGCAATGGCTCATTGGATCTTTCTCCCATCTCGTCATTCTGACAATGTCGCTCCTGCCTTTGTCTTCATTTTAGGGCCCTTATGATGACACTGGGTTCACCCAGATAATCTCCCCTCTCAAAGTCAGCTGATTACCAATCTTAATTCTATCTTCAGCCTCACCCCACTTGGCCACTGAAGCTGTCAGCCTTCCAATCTGAAGAACTGGATGAACCAGAATAGGTGAGCTGATTTCAGGACAGGAGTCAGGCTAAGTGTCAGACAACACAAATTGTGGGTGCAGAGGTGGGCAGCTAAAATGTTCCTGTGGGCATGTGGAGGAGGCAGGAGCTACTTAGGTTTGGGGCACAGGCCTGAGGTGGGTGAGGCCTGGGTAGGACTTGTCAGTGAGTGGCTGCTGTTGAAATCCATGAAGATAGATGGAATCCTCTATCTATCAGCAAGGGGTCAACAAGACCCTGTTTTGTGGGGGGGGGGGGGAAAGGAAGAGTGCACATGAAGGGGCAGGCTGAGTACCATGCCATAGGGAACCTGAAATTTAAGCATCAATGAAGTATTAGGAGCAACTGCTAGTATTGGATACTCTGGCTGGAGAGGGGCACTAGAAGTCAGTGGCCCAACAAGTAGTCAAGGGTGTGGGATAAGGACTAGTCTAGACCTACAATGAGGCCCAGGCATCCTAGAGTAGACATATGAACAGCTGGGTGGATGTGGGGACTTCAGCCCAGGTGGTTGATTTCTCAAGAAAAAGAAACCATCTTCACTAGCAGACAAGGTTGGCTTGATCCTATGTGCCCATGGGGGCTCAAGGACACATGGCCAGCTTGGTACCCCTGCCTTTTTTCTTTGAGACAGGGTCTCACTTTGTCACCTAGACTGGAGTGAAGTGAACTGATCATAGCTCACTTCAGCCTCAAACTCCTGGGTTCAAGCCATCCTCCCACCTCAGCCTTCTGAGTCACTGGTGCAGCCTTCTCAGAGACCCTGCTAACTTTCTGATAGACCCCCCAGGTGCAGATGGTGTCCCCAGAAGGCCCAGGCATCCAGACCCCCAGCTCCATGTTTTCCCCTCATCCAAGGGTCTTGGAT